TTCTGTTTTTTAGGGTTTCTAGATTTCTTCTTAGGCACAATGCAGATCACAGTCCTAATCAAGTAATCTTTCCCCTAGACCAAAAGAAAGGGTAAAACCAAATTTAGGGCTCTATTTTAACAACTGTGTAAGACCTATGACCTGAATATGAACATTCAACATTCCTACTCTAACAAATATTTTCACTGGTCTTGTATTTTTGTTTTGATTTTCAATGTCATGACATACTTTTAATAAGCTAAGTTACCTTAAATTATAGGGGATTAATAACTAATGCAGGGTTAGATCCTCCTTTCTCTTTATATAAACCACTCTCACATCAACTCTTCAACTGGGCCAGGGTTCTTCAAGAAAAGAAGAGATAGAAGAGAGGGCCAGAATTTAGAATTCCTTACCGTGTAACAACCAGGACACAAACCTATGCGAACAACAATAACCTTCAGGCACAAATTCTATCTTCTGTTTCAATTCAGAAAAAGGTAAGGTAGATGCATTATAGTTTACTTTTCTCTCCACAGGAAGACCTTGTTCTTACTCATTCTTGCATCTGGGACCAAAATAATCCTACTAGAGAATATGAAATCAGCTCTGGAAAATAGCACAGCATATTCAGAGTCCAAATGACCTGGGACCCTCCCCATGTGTCTGAAGGAGACAATACTAAACTAACCAACATTGAAGAAGGTGGTATCATGATCTCTGGCAACCAAGATAAATCACTTGTATAACCACTTGAGAGACCACAAAGTAGTTATTAGAGTGAAACCAAAGCATAAGCTGTTTGGCCTTCAAATCTGCTGTCTCAAGAAGAGAAAGATGGACGACGTTACCAAATCTGTCAATAGAAAGACATGTTCTGTCATCCATTTAGTTCTCCTTTGCTTACTCTGTCCCAGCCACAATGGTCTTCCTTTAGTTACTCAAAAACACCAAGAACTGTCCTGCCTTTCTTTTTTCATGGCCTGAAATGCCCTTTCCTCCATTCCTCTTCAATAGTCAGCTCTTTCCTCATCATATCCCAAGACAGGCCTTCCCCATCTACTATGTATGCATTTCCTTTATGATACTTACTGCAACATGCAACTTGCTTTTCGGCAGCTGTTGTGCGGGTCTGTGTAATGGGGGAGGGTTTCCTATTAGAATATAAGCTCCATTAGGACAAAGATATGTCTGTCTTGTTCAGCACTTAACACTATGCTTGGAATACAAAGATACTAAGTAGTAACATTTGATGAATAAATGTAGTACTATTATATCAGCTAGAAGCATCCTCTGTACTTCAAAGTGATCCCATGTCCAAAACTGAAAGGTACTAATCAAATCAGCAGAATTAACAAGAATAACACAAATAATCATAATAGTCTTGATATGGTGTGGTTGTGTCCCCACCCAAATCTCATCTTGAATTGTAGTTCCCATAATCCCCACGTGTTGTGGGAGGAACCCGGTGGGAGGTAACTGAATCATGGGGGTGGTTACCCCCATGCTGTTCTCATGATAGCGAATGAGTTCTCATGAGACCTGATAAGGTGCTTTTCTGCCTTTGCTTGACACTTCTCCTTCCTGCCGCCCTGTGAAGAAGGTGCCGTTCTTCCCCTTCGTCCTGCACCATGATTGCAAGTTTCCTGAGGCCTGCTCAGCCGTGTGAAACTGAGTCAATTAAACCTCTTTTCTTTATAAATTACCCAGTCTCAGGTATTTCTTCATAGCAGTGTGAGAACAGACTAATACAAATCTAAAAGAGCCACCAGGTCATACACTTGATTTTCTCTAATCTTCACAATACTTTAAGTTGAGAATAATGATCCCTGTAACTGAGAAAACAGTGACTCTAGAGGATTAAGAAACATACTCAAGGCTACATGGTTGGTGGCTATGGGCAGTAGATTCGGATCTTGAAACTTGATCTGACTACAAAACCTATGCTGTCACCAGTACGCCACAGGTACTCTGGTAGTTACTATTAACTATAAAAATCCACCAACATGTCTAGAATAGCCCAGAGATGAAGATGGCTAAGTCTGGTGACAAATCAGCCTTGAGTTTGCGGGCTCAACATGTCCCAGTAGGACCAAGAGGCTGAGAGAGCCAGTGTCTGCTAGTTGGAAGTGACTCCAGGTATTCATGCCCACCCAAAGCCATCACTGCTATTTAAAACTAGCAAGAAGTTAAAACAACAACAAAAAGAAAGAAATGGAAAAAAAAAAAAAAAAAAAGAATCCAGCAACTCAAAAAAAAATATGTTTACGAGAATTATCTCTGACAAGAGTAAAATTCCAGGAAAAACTTCCATTAACGAAGCAATGATCATGTGTCAGGTACTACAGGTTACATATTTTACCATTAAATAATTTAGTTTGTATTGTTCCTTGCTTAAAGTTGAGGCAAATGAGCTTCAGAGAAGTGAACTATCTTGTCCATGAACACATATCTAGAAGTGACCCCAATAGGATTTGTTCGATCTAGCTATTTTGATGTTAAGCCTCATGATTCACCTGCTATATAACGCTATCTCACCCAACCCTCTCTGTGTACACGTAGCTGCAAATGTGCTGATGACACCTCCAAAAAAAAACATTATTTCTCTCGTAACTTCCCAGTGGCACTCGCTCAATAAATAAGTGTTGGGCAATTTCTATAGTATTAACAAGGCCGATTTCTAGTAACTTTATTACCAAGTGAGATTAAATAGTAAGGGAAACTGCTGCCTTTTAAGTAGAGAACAGGGAGCACAAAAGATCACTTACTAAATCAGTATTAAGTGCTTTGCCACTCACAAGTAATGATGCCAGGAGGTAATGATTTCCTGCTTTTGTAATTGCTGTGTATCTGCATAATCACAGTGCTATGAGGTATAATGATATGCCAGGAACAGTCCTGCCCATCTCTCAATTGCCTGATAATTTATAACATGTTCAAAGACCGAGGAAGTATCCTGTTTGTACAGATACAACATCCTTTCATGTAACATTCAATGAAAGTAAAAAGATATTTAATAAAATGCCAGGATATTTTTAGATGCCAATGTGCATATCATTAAGAACTATTTATCTGAACACATTACTGTGCCTCAAAAATGATGAAGTCCATGCAATATTTATCATAGATAACACTACCACTCATGTAGCAATTTAATAATGCTTAAAAATAAAATGTTAACATTTCTAAGTGATTAATAAAAATTAAAGGTGCTAAAAGTAGCATTTCTTGACCATTCAGCAGGATTTGACCCCACTCAATACTCACTACCTTTTTTTAAACTCTTTCTTCCCATGGCTTCCCTAAAAAATAAGATTCCTGTTTTCCCTCTTACCTCTCCTCCTGCTCTCCTGCTGACTCTTGTTAGCAGCCCTTCTTCTAGCATTAAATGTGGAAGACTTCAAGGATTTTGTCAAGTTTCTCCTTTCCTCATTCTCTCTTCCTTCTCCAAGCACATCCACAACATAAGCTTCTTCATCATCGATGTGCTTATGACTCCAAAGTTAGTATTTCTAGCTCCATTTGAACCCCAGATCTGTAAGATCCAACTGCCAACTTGGCCTTTTCTCTTGGCTGTTTCAGTATGTATAACTTCCTCATTCCCTTCTCTTATTTCTTTTTTTTTTTTTCCTGAGACAGAGTCTCAGTCTGTTGCCCAGGTTAGAGGGCAAAGGCATGATCTCTGCTCACTGCAACCTCCACCTCCTGGGTTCTAGCAGTTCTCCTAGCTCAGTCTCCCCAGTAGCTAGGATTACAGATCCCCGCCATCATGCTCAGCTAATTTTTGTATTTTTAGTAGAGACAGGGTTCCTCCACGTTGGCCAGGCTGGCCTCTAACTCCTGACCTCAAGTGATCTACCCGTCATGGCCTCCCAAAGTGTTGGGATTACAGGCGTGAACCACTATGCCGGCCTCCCTTGCCTTTTCCTCACACTCCCTTCAACATTCCTTACCTCACTGGGTGCTTCCTATCTCACCGAGTGATGCCACCATCTAGCAAGTGAGCAAGTAAGAACCTAGGGATGCTTTTGACACCTCCCCCTTTTACCCACCTTCACATCTTGTTTCTCCTTATCAACCAATATATTAAGTTCTATCTATTTCACCTTTAAAATCTCTAAAACCCACTCTGGCCTCCTTTTCTGTACTTCAAGTCCCTACTCCAAGCAATGGTCACCTGGCAAGCTGTCTGTTACCATAATAGCTCCCTAACTGGTCTACATATGTCCACCCTAACTTTTCTAAAATCTTTCAACACAGTAGACAAAGTGCCCTTATTGAAATGCAAATCTGGTCATACTACGTTCTTGTTCACCAGAATCCTTAATTAGCCTTCTATTACTGTAGGCTTCATTTATTATTCTTAGGGAGAAGTCAAAAGCCCTTGCGAGGGCCTCCGCGATCTTGCTATATGGCCTGGCTCCTATGCCTTGTCCCAGTCTCATCTCACGTCATGCTCCACCAGAATCCACGGACCTCACCAACACTGTCCGTGTGTTCCTAATCAAAGGGCCTTTGCACTTACTATATTGTCTACCTAGAAAATGGTTCCCTTCCACTTGTGTAGTTAATTCCAACCCAATATCTAAGTCCTGCTTAAGTGTTACCTCCTGTGAAAAGCCTTTGCTAACTATGCCAAACCCTCTAATAGAACTCTATTACATAGTACTTATCCGAGTTTTAATTTCACATTTGCTTATGTCATTATTCGATTATCACCTGTCTCCCACTGTAGGCTATAAGTTCCAAGGCAGCTAGGATGCCTGCTTTTGCTCATCATTGTAACCCTAGTGACTAATACTTTGCTTAGCACACAAAAAAATTTCAGTAAAAACCTTCGAATGAATACGTCAACGAATGGTAAAGGTGTATCAAAGATGTATAAGGAAAGAACTTACCAAGACACTAGTCTAAGGTAGATGAAAGGAAAACTAAAATTGTACTTTACAACTTAAGACTCTTCAAAAACAGACTCTAAAGAAAAACATGAAAATAAACGTACATATGAACTGTGTGCTTACCCACTGTCGGCAAAGAGGAACTCCAAATGGGTCATAAAAACTTCCCAGCGGGAGACATTGTAACGCTGTGCCAGAGAAAGAGCAATGCTGTAGACGCTTTCCTCTAGGGTTCTTCAGAAATGTCCGTCAGGCCCAGGAAGGGAGAGAGGAGAAACACATGACTTCAATCAGCAACGAAAATGCTCATTAGGACTGCTCTCCAGTGAGAGGGGTGCACACAGTATGGTCTTTAATAAGAGAGTTCCTAGGGAGCCAGGAAAAGGGCTTCCAGGCAGTTGTAATGCTCTTTTCACTGTGGTGCATTATAGTTTACTAAGGACTTGTCTAGACCAGTGGTTCTCAACTGTGGGTGATTTCGTTCTCCAGGAGACATCTGACAATTCCTGGAAACGTTTTGAGCATGAAAAGTGGGGCAAGGGGCAGACGGACTACTGGCATCTCATGGGTAGAGGAGGCCAGGGGTGCTGCTGAGCATCCTATGTAGGCAGTCCCACATAGGCATCCTTGGGCAGCCCTGCATGGGCATCCCCCAGCGGGCATACCCTGGACCACCTGTAGGCAGTCCCTCATACATCCCTACATAGGCTTCCTAGCACCCTACATAGGCATCCCAGGCATCGCCATGTAGGTATCCCTGCAGAGACACCCTGAGCACCCATGTACGTATCCCTACATAGACATTCTGAGCACCCCACGTAGATAGAGCAAGCACTGCACGTGGGCAGGCCCACATAGGCATTCTAAGCACCCAACGTAGGCACCCCGAGCATCCTGCATAGGCAGCTCCCACAGCCAAGAACCGTCCAGTTCAGAAAAAATATGAACTAGACTCCAGAGCCTACAGTCAAAAGATAGTGCATCCCTGCTCTAGGGGTAGAGATTTGAGAAAGCGCAATTTGTCACTTAACAAACTTCTCTGTTTTCTACACTGTGCTAGGTATTGTGCTAGCTGCTTAGGATTTATAAACAAACAACCTTCTTTCTTGAGGAATTCACAGCCTAGTGGAAGACCAGAGATGTGAACCAGCAACTAAACACAGCGGTGGTAGCACTAACAGAGAAGATTATGAAACTCCACGAAAACAGAGAGGGAAAGTGACCAATGTGAGCTGCAAGTAGGAGGATACGCAGGCACCCAGCAGAGGGCAGGAGGGAGAAGAGCCTTCTGAGAGAATGGGGGCTTCTGAGAGATGAGAGAAAAAGGGGGCGGGCAAAGTGAGGACTGTATGGGGTCCTCAGGCCTGATAAGAGACCTGCGTCTCATTCTCCAGGCAATGAACAGTCCGTGAAAGGTTTAAACCAGGAAATGACATCGCCAGATTTGAGAATCTCCAGGCATTGAAGTAATTCCAAGAAAATAGTCCCGGGCACCCACATTAAGACCATTTTGGAAAGACTACTGCAGGGCTCCTATTTTCCAGCAGAGAAATGTAGGATGGACTTTCTGGTTGGAAGCGGGTGGGTGAAAGCAGAGAGGCAGAAAAGAAATCTGTATTTCCCCAAGCTAAGGAAATCATGGCATTTCTACACTTGCATGGCCAGGGGCTGGCAAACGTTTTCTGGGAAAGGTAATCTAGTAAGTACTTCAGGCTTTACTGCGAGTGTCTCTGGTATAGTCTTCTTTTTATGGCTTTTGTTTCTGTTTTTTTTATAAAACCTTTAAAAAATGCTAAAACCATTTTTTGTTCATGGGCTATAAAAGAGACCAAGGCTGGATTAAGTTTGTCAACTCATGAATTAGGTCACTGTCAATTAGAAATTCTTTTTTGTTGTTGTTGTTGTTGTTGTTGAGACAGGGTCTTTCTCTGTCTTCCAGGCAGGAGTGCAGTGCCACAATCAAGGTTCACTGCAGCCTCGACCTCCCAGGGTCACCTCCCAGGCTCAAGCGATCCAGCCACCTCAGCCTCCAGAGTAGCTAGGACTATAGAAGCACACCACCACATCTAGCTTTTTTTTTTTTTTTTGATAGAGACAAGGGCTTGCTATGCTGCCAGGGCTGGTCTTGAACTCCCAGCCCCAAGCATTCCTCTCACCTTGGCCTCCCAAAATTCTGGGATTATAGATGACAGCCACCACACCCGGACTAGAAATAGTTTCCTGAAGTATTTATTTGAGTACCTACTTCCACATCACAGAATGAGAATTTCATGAGAACAGGGGGACATTGCTAATTCATCCTTTCTATTATGGGGGCATGGCACACTGCCTGGCACAAGACATTTTCAATAAGGACTGATATCTTTATCTCTTGATAAAGGTGGGAAGGACCCAAACTATGTTATAGCCTCTTCACAGATACCCTGCTTGACCCCTGAGAATGTATTCCCTAACACATAATGATAGTAAAGGACAGGTACAATGCACTTACAGAAAACTAATGCCATGAACATGGACATGCAATGAGAAAGACAAGGAAGAATGGTCACACTGCAGACGAGTGAAGGTGATGCTGCAAATGGAAGACGTGAGTCCTTCAAGAATTCTTTATGCAAAACACAGACATCCTAGCTCCACAGTACAGAGGAAAGCAGCAAGCTGGTGGAAATTCTGAGACATCTTAAAGAAGCCATTCAAACACTGCTGCATATTTTTGTAAGTAACAGATTGTACAGAAGAGTCTATTATATATTGATCAAAAGCATATATTTGTCCTCTAGGATATACTTCAAATAGCATATGCTAGTTGCATGCTTAACAAAGAAAATAAAGGTCAAAAATTCTAGCAAAATATAACTGATGATATAAGGCATGCCTTGCCTTATAAGTTTTTATTCTGCACAATAATCATCTTCTAAGAAACTGTGAACATGGCACCAAGGATTACCAAATGTCCATAGGAAAAGCACATTGAACTTGGACTTAAGAAACCTAAGTTCAACTCCTGGCTGTATGACCTTGAGCAACTCTTTAAAGCTCTCTAGTTTTGATTCCTCTTCTCAAAAGTGAGAAGGTTGGACTCTTGGGTCACATTCAAATTGGACACTAAATGACTTTATGAAATTATGAACCTCCAGAAGGACAGAGGAGAAGAGAAAAGAAAATACCATATTTCTCTCCTAATTGAGAACAGCTATAGGTTGTTCCTGCTATTTTTCTTTTGATCTCTCTTTGCTAGGCCTTATTCTAAAGAGAATTTTGCGTGTCCTCTAGTAAGAAAGAAGTCCAGGCTAATATAAAATTATTACCGAGAATCAAGATGAGTTTGCCACCTTCTCAAGGATTTAAATGATAATGATTAAAAATAACATACTCCACTACCACAATCAAGATTACCTTTGCTATTTTAAAGTCATTTGTCAGAAAAGAAAAATAACCATTAAATGTAGGCACAGTTTAATTAGCTTCAAAGGCTGGAAGCCTAAAGGCTAAATCACATGCCACTGCTTCCTTGAGAACGCAGTGGGTTGTAGGGGAAGGCATACGGTGGTGTGGTGATGATGTGAGGCTTTGCGATGCGTCCAGGTTAAAATCACAGCTGTGATTCTCACCATCTATAGAAACTTGGGCAATTACTTAATATTCCTACGCTTCATTTTTCTCAACTATAAACGGGATAACAACGTTTTACTTCACAGGGTTATCTTTGAGGATTAAAAGACATTTATACAAAGTTTACAGAGCACTTTGCACAGTGTCTTGCCCATGTTAAGCACTCAATAAATTGAGGTTTTAAAAACAAAACATCTCTACTTCATAACTGCTGTGGATGGACATACTTTCCCAATATCTGACATGTAAATACTTCTCATTTGACCTGAACAACTAAAACGAAAAGCAAACGCTAGGACTAAAACCAAAGGGAATTCCACACTGAGAGATCAAATTCTCCAACAGGGCCTTGAACTGAGCTGCCACCTCACAACGGGGCCTGCTCTTCTCTTGACAGGGGTAAGGGACCAAAGGAAAAACAGTTGGCTTCTCTTTCTCTAGAAGACCAGGACAGATAAAGGTACCCTAACAAGTCAATTGTACCTAGTTTTTATCATACTGAAATTAAACTGCCGTGTACTTTGAAAAGTGAGCTTTCTAGCCAGACACAAAAGACAATCTTACATTTAAATTTCCACCCTGAGTTCCTACTTTTCGTCCCTGACCACATACTGTTACTTCTAACATGGTAATAGTCTCAGAACTGGGCTATCAAAACTATAGGACATTAAAAAAAAATAACTTAAAAAATAAGCTTAAAAAATCATTATTTTATATTTTTGAGACAGAGTCTCGCTCTGTCGCCAAGCTGGAGTGAAGTACAGGGGCGTGATCTCAGCTCACTGGTCTCCACTTTCCGAGTTCAAGTGACTCCCGTGCCTCAGCATCCCAAGTAGCTGGGAGTACAGGTATATGTGACCATGTCTGGCTAATTTTTGTATTTTTACTAGAGATGGGGTTTTGCCATGTTGGTCAGGCTGGTCTGAAACTCCTGGCCTCAACGGATCTTGGGATCTTGGGCTGCCTCGGCCTCCCAAAGTGTTGGAATTACAGGTGTGAGCCACTACGCCCAGCCAAAAATCATTATTTTAACTAATGATTTAAATATTGTGGGATATTTTTGTAGCTGGAAATGCTGTCTGCATCTACTGATTAGTTTGAAAAAGGCACACGTCCCACATAAGACTAGAAGTTGGGGAAAGCCCTATTCCTAGCAACGATTAATGTAAATCTTCAAAGGACTGAAACTTACAGTCCTGGTAACTGAACTTCTTCTTTTGCAATTTAAATCCATTCTCTTAGTAGACAAAGGGTATTGCTTACTCTGCCAGACCAAGGATAGTTTCCCTTTTATACTGGGCATCTGCAGTAAACCGCTGCACGTCCACGCCCTTCCGAAGGCCCTGAAGGATCTGCGCCTGAGTGAAATCCAGGAGACGCTCATTGTAGTGGTGTAACTGCTTGGTCAGTGAAACGAGATCTTCAGGCCAGGCTTCCTGCCCATGCCGAGTCACATGCCTCGTGACCATCTTGATTAGTTCTTTGGGATCAGCCTGTGAAAGACATGGAAAAGGAGATATTTTACAAACATCATACAAAGATGAGCAAGTAAGTTTAAAAAAAAGAAAGGAAGAAGACCATGTCTGCAAGGCACTATCTGGCCCTGTAAACTACTGCCATTTAATAAGGCTCACGACAGCCCTGAAAAGTCAACTGCAGAAGTGGTACTTCACCCACTTGGCAGACCACAAAGATAGGACACAGAACTACGCCTAAAAACAGCTTTTTGAACTCTTGCTCTGTTCTTCTTCAACCTTAAAACCTCCTCACACTTAAAAAACAATACATTCTTGCTCTTTCAACTACTATAAACCTCCATCAGATTTGTCCCCCAACCATCTGACCACTCACGGTAACTCACTCTGGAAGTAATTTTCATCACCATTGCCTCTGGATAAATTTGCTGTGGACTACAATAAGTGTTCTCAATAACAACATTGCAGTTGAATAACCTCACTATAAACAGCTAGACAGCTGAGGAGAAAAGTATTTTCTCCAGGGATAAGTTAGGGATAAAACTCCACCCTGTTGCTGAAATCATAAATAGTGCAAGTTTCATAAAAAGAGGCATCCAACCAATTTTTAGTCTTCTAATTTGGGGCTCAATGGGATATTATTCTATGATTCTTAGCAGCTTCTCTAATAACAAGAAAATCATTCAACTAGAACACAACCTAGAATCCAACAGCTGACAGGAAAGGAGAATAAATGATTAACTGGCCACATTTATTTACGTTAAAGTTGGTCTGGGTGTTAATGAAATTACAGAGCTGAGTCATGATTCTGGAATTACTTAACAAGGAGCATAATACTTGAACAGCATTAACTCAATCAATCCCAATTCCTGGGAAGACATGCTACATATTTAATATAAGCAAATTAGAAAAAAAAAAAAAAACACAAGAATCTACCTTTGGTTCTCAGAAACACACAGCTAATTATAGTAAGCTGTCAGCATTTCTAATGTGTAAGCCATTATTCTGAGCTGCACAGGAGACTTGTCAATGTCGAGTCTATATTACCAAACTTATCCTGACATTCTCTTGATCCTACTAAGGAACAATCTGGGAGTGCTGATAAAAAACAATTAAAGAAATCTTCTTAGATTCTGGCAGGTGGATTTGAGTAAAAGTCAATCTTACTATATTTAATTTTTTCCCTACTGCTATGCATACACTGAGTCCTGCTCTCAAAACCACAAATATGTGTCTCAAGTTAAAAGACCTGGGTTTGAATACGAACCATTCCATAGTAAGCTACAAGGCCATCTTTCATTCATTCAATAAATACTTTTTGTGCACCCATTATGTAACAAGTCATTTGTTAAGTGGATATGGCCCTTCCCTAAGGGAGTACAGTCTATTAGGACAGACAATCATGCAAAGAACTGTAAAACGGTGTGACACAAATAAGCCCAGGGTGCTACGGGAATACACAGGAGTGGGCAGGTGTCACTGAAGTCTTCTTCAAGGAGTTAATGTCTAGGATTAAATACTCAGGTACCAACCAGTAATAACAAGGCCAGCAAAAAATAGGAAGACAAATTCCTATAAAAGGTGGAGAACATGATAACTTCTATATGGCTAAGGCTTGAAGGAAAAATGAAGTGTATAAGCTAAATCTAACTAGAATTAGAAAGTGATTTGGGAACCAGCTGCATATAAACAGTATTCCTGGCAATGGATTTAGGGAAAGGGGATGCCATGTCTCAGCTCTCAGTGCATCTATGGCTGACATTTAACTAAATCCTTTCTGTCTGAACCCTCAGGGCAGCACCCTGAGCCTCCATCACGTGCACAGCCACCTCTGCAGCTGTCTGATACAGGGATGCTGCTCACAGGCCAGCCAGCCCATCTTCACCTGCTCGGCACTCTGGTGTGTGCTGCCATGGCCTACTGCTCTTACGCTTCATCTGGTGTGCACTTTTCTTCCCAGTTGTAGAGACAGCAAGACCACTGGATAATGATCAGGGTTTTAGGGTGGCAGGAGAGCTCTTTTTAACTGTTCCTTGAAGTAGTTCCTAGTGCCTCAGATTTACACCCCACAACCAAATCTATGTTCACCAAAACAATGAAGAAGGCTTTTCTTCATGTATATTCTCACCTGGTGCTTTCAGACTAAAGCTCTCAGCCTGAGCTTGTTGAATACACCCTGAGGAAAGGCTATAACTAACTAACTTATCTCTGTGTGTAACTCCATGCCCCTCTCTCTACCAGGCTATTTCTGTCTCCTACTCATAGAACCAACTATCTTAGACCTCCAATGGCTTTTCATAAATTTTGTTCCATGTTCATTTTTGGCTTTTTATTTTCTGGTATCTCCAAGATGTAATCCATATACTGGGAGAGTGGCCTGCACTTTTCATTAGCCTCAATGGCAGAATCTCTGCTCATTTCTATTCTCTTTGTGTTCCAAAATAGGCTATGAAACAAATCCCAAGGCCAGATGAAGAGCAAAGCTCCAAAATATTAGTGCACAGGAATGAGCATAATTATTACTACAAATATTCACACAGGTTCTTATGTAACCTGCAGAAAGTTTCGAGTCTCCACATACAACCTTCAAATGTGACAAAAGAACAGTATTGTCTCCTTTTGCCAATGAATAAGATGACATGGCACAGTGAAGTAAGCACAGACACAGAGCTTACTAGCTGGATGATCTTGTGCAGATTACTTAACTATGAACTTCACTGTCACATCTATAAAATGGCAGTAATAACATATAGCATTCATGGTTGTGAGAAGCCTAAGACACAACATATATAAAATATACAAACCAAAACCTGGCAGAAAGGAAGTGCTCCAAAAATAAAAGGAATTACAGAACTTGCTAAAAGGCATACAAAAATCATAATTTCAGTGCACCTCTACTGTATAATTCATTTTGCATTGCCTTCTCTTAAATTATAACTTCTGGGGGGCAGAGACCATGTGTCCTTCATGAATTTGCAGAGCACAGCACAGTCTCTTGCACAAATCAGGTACATGGCCAAAGGGAGCTGATTGAACTGGCTTTGAAGTCAGTAGTACAGGTTGATATTGCAGCTTCCCCACTCAGTAGACACACAGTCTGGAACAAGTTACTTCCTGTTTCCTCACCTATAAAAGAATGTCGATAGCACATCCTCCTCACAGTTTGTTACGAGGTACAAAAAAAACGGTATCTTGAAGCTCTCTTTTCTCCATTATTATATGAAAACAAATTGGACACAGAGCTTACTCTGAAAGAATTAAAAACTAGTGATTGACAAGGAGGTACACATAAACAATTCACAGAAGGCATCCGAATATACGCAGCCTTATAGAATTATGAGCCGAGAGTGCTGGGAACTCCATGGAAGGAGCAGCTGATTCCCTCTCTTGATTCCACTGGGCCTCAGTTTCTTCAGATGTGAAACAAAGGAGCATCACTGGGTGATCACCTTTCTACGACTGAAATCCTATAAATGTATAAGAATTTTATCCTTAAGAGGCCAGGCATGGTGGCTCATGCCTGTAATCCCAACACTTTGGGAGGCCGAGGCAGGACTCCTTGAAGTCAGAAGTTTGAGACCAACCTGGCCAACATGGAGAAACCCCATCTCTACTGAAAATACAAAAAAAAAAAAAAATTAGCCAGGCATGATGGCACTCACCTGTAGTCCCAGCTACTCAGGAGGCTAGGTGGGAGAATCACTTGAACCCAGGAGGCAGAGGTTGCAGTGAGCTGAGATTGCACCACTGAACTCCAGCCTGAGTGACAAACACAAGACTGTCTCAAAAAAAAAAAAAAAAAAAAAAAAAAAAAAAAAGAATTCTATCATTGAAAAAATAAATCTTTGCAAATCCCTCCAGGTGTAGAAAGGATGTTCTACATCTCATTTATTCTTCCACAAAATATTCTGAATAAACTTCTTTGTTAAAAAGTAGAATTTTAGGCTGGTGTGATGGCTCACACCGATAATCCCAGCACTTTGGGAAGCCTAAGGAGGAGGCTCAATTGAGGCCAGGTGTTTAAGACCAGTCTGGGCAATATAGTGAGATGCTATCTCCACACAAAAATTAAGAAAATGAAAATCAGCCTGGTACAATGGTGCATGTCTGTAGTGCTGCCTACTAGAGAGGCTGCTGCACAAGGATCACTTGAGCTCAGGAATTTGAAGCTGCAGTGAGCTATGATCAAACCACTGTACTCCAGCCTGTGGGACAGAGTGAGATCTTGATCTCCAAAAAAAAAAAAAATTTACAATTTCAGGTCACAAATTATAGCCAACAGGTTTCTACACAGTTTATACAACTTCAATCTCTTCTCACTTACTAAATATAAATTATCTAGTCCTCTATCAATCATTTTTATCACCTATTCTTGGTACAAGAAACTTAATCACTTTTCCCAAGAAATATTAAAGAATAAAAATCTAGTATTTCAGTCTTCAGGATGGAACACGCCTAGTGCTAGAACATGTACTGAGTCTCATTTTGCACCAACAACCCTGCAGGAGAGGTATCTCTTACTGTCATCTCTGTTTTACAGATGAGTAAAGAATGAACTTATCTGAGGCCTTTAAGCTGGTAAGTGGCAAAACAGTGCTATGACTACCATGCAGAATGCTTCCTAAGAACCATCCTTTTATATTTGGTATGTAAGGAAGGGCATCTCTCAAAAATACAATGCTCTTGATTGGGCCAATGTAGACACTGCTCCACTACATGCAAGTAAGACTTGATGTTAAAATTTGGCTCCGTGTCCCCACCCAAATCTCATCTCGAATTGTCATCCCCACATACTGCAGGAGGCCCTGGTGGGAGGTGATTGGACCATGTGGGCAGACTTCCCCCTTGCTATTCTTGTGATGAGGTTCTCAAGAGATCTGGTTGTTTAAAAGTGTAGGGACATGGATGAATCTGGAAACCATCATTCTCAGCAAACTGTCACAAGAACAGAAAATCAAACACCACATGTCCTCACTCATAGACAGGTGCTGAACAATTAGAACACATGGACACAGGGA